AATCGCATCAAGCAACAAGGGGGCGGTTGAAAACTACAAACGCCTAGCCACCAATGCAATTTAAAAGGAAGGCAAATACGGGCATGGGCTATCAAATTATCAACCGTATATTCATCCGCAGATTGAGCTCAAGAGAAAGTTGTTTGGTGTGAAGTGCCAGAGGTGACCAGATTCTTCATATGGCATGATTTGTATTAACAAAGGGTCCTGTGACTCACGCGAGTGGTCTTTATTGGGTATTAATATTCCATCTTGGAACCGTTTAGCAAACTGCAGAAGAGATCACCCAAGTTATTATGCCTGCTTCAGTTGGAAACCATCACAACCTTTTTAATGTGACTGCCTGGATTATTAATTAGGGCGCATTCGAAATCGGAGTCATTGTTGTCCAAACTGCATTGAAAAAATGCAGTGATGAGACATCCACTGTCACGCCGTGGCCTCTACTGACTGCGCTACATCACCCGTCCACAGGCTCTGATGCTCACCAAGGCCGTTTCAAGGCCACATCATCCGTCTCTACTGCTACTGCGTCGTCGCAATTGTGTTTTTCTTCAACTTCGCGGGCGAATGTTGGAATGGACGGGCCTAGTGTGCGCTCCTTCTCCGTACCAGGCAGTAATTGGGGGTAGAAATGAGGGAGGAGGGAGTAAGGGGTAGGGGTAGGTCGAAACGTGGTCCACCATTGCATGTGTGCTAAGGTAAACACATTTGGAAGGGGGTCCAGCGACAATTGACTCATTCATAATGCTGTTAAATGCATCCACATGCCACCGAAACTCAAACAATAAATGCGGTGAAAACCTATACTGTAAGGAAAAAGGATGGTGTTGCGTAGAAAAGTCACTACACCGATGCTCGATGCCTACCATGAAAGGATAGTTCAGAATTTATGGTGAGGTTAAACAAGGGTATGATTTTTAGTCACTGTTTCTGCTATCGTGGTACTGAGACTGACGGTTCAACTAAGCATCCGAAATTCCTTTAGCGGAAGCAGTATACCCTCAGGAGAGATACACTACCGACAGCAAGAGGCTGTTTTTCATTGTTTAAAAATTTTATACTTGGTATTCCAGAACCACATCAAAAACTCCTATAATACTTAAAATTACCATTTAGCCCATAGTACCAAGATCAGTCTCATAAGTGGTACTGAACAGTGAATAACTTTGCAAACGAAAATATTTTATGATTGTTGTTACAAAATTAAGTCAAAGGATGGAATTGAAATTAGGGCAATTTGTTAGCTAATCTATTCAAAGAGCAGAGCGGGTTTTCATATGTAAAGATTGATTC